CCTTGCGACGTCTGCATGTATGGACATTCCAACTTGAGTGAAACCATCAGTAACTGAGAGATTACGTTGGAAAGCATGAGGATTGCAGGCAATACGACGAAGTGCGGCTGCTGCGTCATCCAGCTTCTCTTCGTTCTCACTCACAAATTCCATTCTGCAACCTCTCTATCTTCCTCATGTTGTTACGAGTTGCTCTAATCTTTCGTGCCCTTATAAACTATAGTATCTTATCGACCAATCGACTGATACAGGCTTCCAAGCTTGTACCACAACCTCGTCCTTCGCCTCTGCATTCCCGCAGCCGGATCAGTATTGCACCTCAGCATGCAACTATTAGTTGGTCCCTACGGGGGCCAATATCACGTCTATGGTTAGGGACTTGATAATGAAGAAATTGGTCAGCCTACTCTCTGATGCCCATGGACTTCTCCACTTCATGGCCAGCAGCGCCACCCCAAACCGTCTCCACGCTAAGTGGTGGCGTGGCCATATTCGTTGCCAAGTTGTTCAGCTCCCCGTCTTCGTAAATGACCAAATGCAGGTGACGAGGGAACATACACTCTCTCTCATTGTCGACAGCTACGCCACTCGCCACACCCATCAACCAGGTACTCGTGCACAGCAGTCAGGCAGACGGTTATTTATCATTTACGCGCGGTTGCCGCGAAGTAGCATACGGTGCACTCGATCCACGTAGAAACTAAAACCTACCAGCTCCGCCCATCTACCATCCAACCCTCACCCTCCATCACAGCAGCAAAATTGTGAGCAGATTGAAGTGAATACCATAATCCATAAACCACCTCTATTTAGGCACACTTCGCCGCTTGTGTATTGGCTGAGAAGTAGCCTAACCCTAGTGCGCAATATCACCAACATTGATTCGCCTCCTGCTTCCGACTAAGTGTGCAGTTACGTCGTAAAATCGACTTCTTTTCCTCAAATCGATTCGCATTCCTCCCTATTGCATGTCCCCACCTAAATTATCAGATTAGAAGATGACTACTTCCTACCAATCTACAGTCTATCATTCTGCAAGTGATGTCATGACAGGTGGGATACATTTG